AAATTAGCTGAATGAGTGTTAATAATCATAAGCATTGATAATAGCCAGTGAACATAAGTCTCAAATTGTGCAAAAGTGCATAGAATTAAAAACTAAATATATCAACTAAAAATAAGATACTAAGTAATAATCAGTAGTGAATCAAATATATTAAAATATCAAATATAAAATATATAAAAAAATCTCAAGCTTATCAATCAAAATGATACATAACAAAGTGAGTCCAAAGGTAAATAAAAGTGGGTTCAGAAATAATTAAATAATTGATTGAATGTGAGTCCAGAAATAAATAATTTGTGAATCCAAAAATAATTAAAAATTTCCAGTGTCAGCAACGTGTTAATGATGAAAACAAATCCCACACCGAAGTGTCCACGTCAAACTCCCCTCTGGGATGCGCACTCACCAGACCAAGATATTTATAAGCAGAAGGAGATGACAGTTGGTAATCCTACAGCCGTCTCGTCCTCATCGCATGGATCAGTATTTTATCAAGAAAATACAAAAGGGACAAGAACTCCTCATGGTGTAGTCGCTCAAACGTTTTATTAAACAAAAAAAGTAGCCACTTACAATTAAAATCGATAAAAACGGCCGCTCACACGTTTGTGAGTAAAACTTATGTACTTCCTGGTTGTGTGTGGTATTGAGAAGTATGCCCCGCCCTGACGCGTTTCGTCATAAAAAGACGTCTTCAGGGGGATCGCAGGTGAATCCCCCTGAAGACGTCTTTTTATGACAATGCGTCAATTTAGTTTTTAATTCTATGCACTTTTGCACAATTTGAGACTTATGTTCACTGGCTATTATCGATGCTTATGATTATTAACACTCATTCAGCTAATTTTGTTAACACTGATTTAATTAATTTATGAGGAAGGCAGCTGCTGCACTTAAAGCATTTGCATCCCTTTTGTGGTGGCAGGGTCCCTTTAAATCAACCTACACCTAATTCATGACAGCCTGGAACAGTTTTAGTTACAATTCTGACACGCGCGGCAGTTTAAGGTAGTTTTAGTTACCGACAGATTAAAAAGGCATTACTGCCAGTTCATAGATTAGGTAAATTGAGGTAATTAAGACTAACTTTGAGCAGCGGAGGCACCAGGGTGGGAGTCACCCGGTGTGGTGCATGCATTATGACACTCTTTATGAATCCAAGGGAGTATCCCTGTTAGGTTTGTGTTGCTATTGCTTTCCTGTCCTGTTTTAATGTCAACATTTTTTCTGGGATAGAAAGTAAGTGGAACTTCTTCAGTAGTGCCAGACAGTAAACAAAAATCAGGAGAGCCAACCTTTCCCCGCTTTATCCAAAAAAATAAAAAACAGTTTTGATTGCAATTACATTTTTAAAGAAGAACTCTGGGCATAATTATTCTTAACACTTGCAGTGTGGCTACCCCCTCACTGGAAAGGTTAAGTGCTAATTTTCGTCTAGGAGCGAGAACAACAAGGATATACTCACCTGAACCTTGGAGTCGACTGGCTGTTAGACCGGTCCCTTAGACTTAGCTCGCAGCTAAGTCCAAACTTCCATGAGGGGGTCCCTGGCTAGACCCTGCCACCTGTTCGCTTGTGGGCTCACATCCCGGGAATCATGACACAAAGTGTCTGCCAGGAAAATTTTAGTTACTGGTATGTAGGCAGCTATAAGGTGAAGTAAGGTTCCTCTATGTCCATTCCATGATGGGGGGCAACTTTTTTCAACAGCGAGTAACTGCTAGTCCCTGATTCTACGAGACTGCCATTCTGTTGTCCGATTCATTACTGATGCACATTTGATATGTCGATAAACCTTTAAAGCTGCGTAGTTCCAAGACGTTGTAGGTCTCGCCTACCACTGAACTCCCAAGCGCTGCACCCTAGTCCCAGCATTTTCACAGCTCTAAACTGTGCCCAGGGAGGAAGGAGATAAGCAAGCCTTACCCAGTAAGTGAAGAAGCTGCTGTATCATTATGGTGGGCATCTGATATCACAGTGCACCACCAGCTTCCTATGAAGCCTGACCACTCAAAGGCAGCCTAAGAACAGGAAGTGGGAGGGAAGAGTACCATGTACAGAATGTGGCACCATGATGGATATTTTTTTGTGGCACACTATGCCACAAAAAAAGGGGAACCAGAAACCAGCAAAGCAACACCCCAACTCAAACAGACGGAACTTCGTCACAGGGGAGGCTGAACCTGTGTGGAAGTCCAGAAAAAAAGGCAAGGTGAGGGTAAGAACATAATATTTCCTTTAGAAACAGCATAACCAGTTTAAGCAGTGAGGAAAAAAGGAGAATTGTGGACTTGTGGAGTTGGGTTTCATTTATAGTATAACCGGTTCTGTGATTTTGTAAGGGGAGGAGCTATACCCATGTGTATGCTGCCATGCTTATGTCATGAAAATCATTCAGCAAGTAATGTAAATGTTGCATGCGGTTGCAGTCATGGGATGAAGGTAAGTATGCATCTGGAAGGAGAGTGGTGGGGTACTTTTGGTTGGGAGAAATGTAGGCAAATAGGATTAGTGCACTTATTATTTAATTTCCTTAATAATCAGCTTGTGTATCAACAAGTTTACTTGTTACTGAGGACTACAACTGGTCTTTGCCTAAATTAATGTGTTTTATTCCAATTAACCACTTGCTGTCTGGGGCATTTTCTTACTCAAAAAAATCTGCGCTATGGAAGCTGTCTCAAAGTGATAAATATAAAAGATGAAAAGCTGCCGTGCTAATAATATAAATAGATCGAACAAATGCACTGCGCTAATCAATAATCATAATATGTGAATAATATAGTGCTAAATATCAAATAGATCACATATAACCAATATAATTAATAAATACTCATAAAGAGTAAAACGTGTCTCTCATTGTAATATCTCCAGTAGAGATTAGGCGCAAATTGGTAATGTATTATTACAATGGCTATGGATGTGGTCTTCCTGTCATGAGTGACCTCTGGTATATTCCAGGCCATTGTACTAATAAAAGTGGCCACCAGAGGTCACTCATGACAGG